ACTATGAATAATTTTTGGGACTAAGTAAGCGAGGAAGGAAAGAAAAGGCACAGCTACATTTCCAGTATTCTTTTTTGCATACTCTCCAATTTTCTCCTTTTAATTTGGTGAGCAGTTATTGCAATGGGTAGCTTCAACCTTAATTACTGACGACTTGCATAGATTTTAATGAAATACAATATTATTTTAATTAAAATCAGTTTCACTTGTTGCTGACAGAAATATTAGCAAAAATTTTCAAAATGATCAGATTTTTTAAAATAGAAAGGTTATCTGTTGAGAACTAAAGACATTCCCGCAGATTGGTAATAAATGAAAGTAATTTTAGCCTTGTATCAAATAATTGCTTCTTACACAAGCATTTTTCATAAAAAAAATTTTGCTAATATATATTGTCGCTTCTGCGATTACCAATCTAAGGTTCTGAAATTAACTTGCAGTACATATTAAACTTGAACTTTCAGGGGAAAAACTTTCTTTTTAACTAAAACTTTATGTTAAAATTTGACTTTGACCCTAACAAAAAAGAAGTTGTTATTTTTCCAACAAATTTTTACCATTTAATTTCAGTAAGATTGCTTGAAAAACCAGCAATTGGATTTGGTACACCAGACGTAGCAGAAGTAGTTCAAGTGCCCGCCCTATCCCGATACGACCGGAGCACATGTATCGCCGGTCCTTCATCTGTTCAAAATACCCTGATGCCACAGCTCAGGACAATTCCACCGGTCACTGTATCAAACCCTTTCCCATTGTCCTGTCCGGCGTCGGATCCATTACAACCGAAATTTACCGCATTTACACCTGTTACTCAAAGGTAACCATAACAGACAAACTTCATTATAATCTCCGTGCCTTTCCCAGATGAAACAAAACCACTTTTTAATTACTGCAGACATCATAATTCTGAAAAATCTTTGAATACTTCAAACCCACTCACTGTGCAAACAGTAATTGCAAAATTTTTAGTTCGCTGTTTTCACCGCCTACTAGTCGCTATGCAGAAAACCTGTTTCAAGCATTGTCTAGCCAACTGATGCCATCGGTTATCTTAGCAAATTCCTCCTTCAAACATCTAGCCGAGTATGTGAACAAATTTTACTACAAACAGATAATGCTGAATTTTGTTAACACGCTTATAGTTTTACTTTACATTTATAGAGACTTAGTACCTAAGTTAAGTTACTGCCTACACTGACATCCAACAATATCTGTTTACATACAT